TATAATAAATTTTATATAAATTTTAAAAAAATTATAAAAACCATTATACTCCAATAAACACTCGCAAAACCTGCCGATGAAAATTAGAACATATATGTGTATTAAACATTATTATAACAAAGAGATAAAAACAATAAAATTACAATAAAAATTGTTGTAACTCATCAACAGCAAACAATAATTCATATCTTAGAAAGAAAAAAGTGTTGGGTTTCGTTATTGCAAAGTGGCAAGCAGCAAAAGCTATAGGCCATGCTGTTATTGGATAGACCCTACACAAACAATAATAACATGAGAACGCAAAGATAAGACAAAGAAAATATAAAACGGAATTTTTTTTTAATCCGTCAGTGCGAAACCGAACTCTATCCTAGTCCACTTTTACACCACATCAACAGCCATCATTCCAAATTATTGAATTGAAAATGGTGGGTCATAAATGAATATAAGGAACAGTTTAGGCATTTGGGAACAGGGTAAATCCAAAAAGAAAAATTTAAACTTAAATTTTAAATTGGACCAAAAGGTATTGAAAAAATTAATTGGAAAGTAAATGCAACAAAATTTAGCTTTGAAAATTTTGACTGAGTATCTCGAAATTGAAGTCTTTGCGTTTAGTGTATACAGAGATAGTGGATTCGAGAAGTAAAAATTTCAAATCTAAACTTAAACTTGCAAATACTTTCAAGTAAATTATATCACTCACCTTTTGGCCCAATTTAAAATTTAAGTTTACAGTTACTTTTTGGGATTTACACTGTCCACAAATGCCTAAACCATAGACGTCACTTTTATTCATTTATGACACACCATGTTCAATCCAATAATTTGGAAGGATGGCTGTTGATGTGGTGGTATATATCAACGTGCACAAGGATAGAGTTTGTTTTAGCACTGAACTACGGATTAAAAAATGTTTCGATTTTATATTTCAAATATCTTTGAGCTCTCGTGTTATTATACACTGATGGAAAAAAAATCCAAACACCCAGAAAAATTGTAAAGTGATGAATTTTCGGCAATGCGTTTGTCTGAGTAATACATTTAATTGATTAAAGTTTCATGATCACAATTTAATGCTATTAAGAGGAAAACCATTTCAAATGTGAAATATTGGGGCACGCGAATTTTGAATGCAAGCATTAAAATGGGCATGCATTGTGTCATACAGATGCCGAATATCATTTTGTGGAATGGAGTTCCCTGCCTGTTGCACTAGGTCAGTCAATACGGGAATAGTTAATACTGTTTCTGGATGACGTTGAAGTTGTCATCCAATTATGTCCCATACGTGCTCGATTGGTGAGAGATCTGGGGATCTAGCAGGCAAAGGCAACATGTCGACACGCCGTAGAGCATCTAGGGCTATAATAGCAGCATGAGGGTGAGCGTTATCCTGTTGGAAAATACCCCTTGAATGCTGCTCATGGATGGTTACAAAATAGGTTGAATCACCAGGTTGAAGTACAAATTTTCCGTCTAGGTGAGTGGAATAACCACGAGAGTGCTTCTGTTGTCATGGGAAATTACTCCCTAGACCATAACTCCATGTGTAGGTCCAGTGTGTCTAGGCTGGAGGCAGGTTGGTAGCAGGTGCTCACCTCTTTTCCTTCTAACCAATATACAACTTTCACCGAGCATCAGTCCTCCAGTGAGCTCTAAATCGAGCTGTACTCGGGCGTCTTGCTCAGAGCTGTACTTGAAGCAGCCGATTTGTAACGGTTCGTTGTGTCACTGCAGCTCGAATTTCTGATGCAGACGTAGTACAGTGCGCCACAGCCATACGCAGTACACGATAGTCTTCCCTCTTAGAAGTGTCGCGTGGCCGCGCAGAACTCGGTCATCTTCAACAGTACCACTGCTGCCAACAATCCTGCTCAGTGAGCCGTGGTAATTCAGGGGATATAATTCTCACTTCCCAATGAGGTGAACCGAGTTCGAATCCCGATAATGGCTGGTTGATTCGAATTCCTCATCCGGCTCACACCGACCACAGTGCTGACATAAAATACACTCAGTTTTAGACGGATCATGGGTCAGAGTCCCTTTGTCGTAAGGCTGACCGAAAGAGATTATCGTGGTTTTCCTCGTGGGTTATCGTGGTATAACGCAAATGTGGGTTAGTTCCATCGAAAAAACGTCCACCAAGGCAAATTTCTCCCAATACTTCATCCAGCTGTTCTTTTGTCTTCTGAATTGGGTTCAAAATTACAAAGCTATGGAGTTGAACATTAGTAGTCGTAAACCCAAAAAATTAGGACGGCTGTTCAACGACGGTTGTAGAATCATGCTCAGTGGATAAATTTCTCCCCAGTCTTTGTGAAATATCGCGGAAAGAAAATTCACCTTCTCGTAGTTCTCTTTTACGACCACGTTCAAATTCAGCGAGCTGCTGGCCTCTTCGTCTTCTTTATGGCATTCTTGACTAACAGCAATTCACTGCGTCAAAATTTAACTAACAATAACTCTTGCAAACTGTAGAACACGTATTTAAAGCAACCTTCATTTGCATGTTCACAGAGGTGCTACTAGTCCTAAGTTCATGCTCCAAGCGCGAAATTTGAATTTACATCGTATTTTAGTTATAAAAACAAGCCTGCCGAATTTAGTTAATCTAACACAACTCCTTCTTGATGTTGGGATTTTTTTTCCGTTAGTGTAACTTGTGTAGGGTCCAGTCAATAGCAACATTGCCTAAGGCTTTTGCTGCTTGCTACTGGGTTATAACATATATATATATATATATANTATATATATATATATATATATATATATTATAGAAGGCTTCATGTATATTGATATCTAGTTTACTTTTCGGTATCTTCAGACACACGATTCTATAGCTTTCTTTGCACCTAACTTTTTCAAAAAATTAATTTAGAATCAGAATGTTTTAGCATCTTTAAATTTTTTTCTTCTTTGTTTTCATGCATTTTTGATGTCATTCGACAAAAAAGAAATATAGATATTTTTTAGATACATTTTTCTCTCAAGCAATAAACCTATTGATAAATTTTTTTATATTTATTTTTGTTGCAGTTTAAATTAATGGAAGAATCTAAATATTTTTTTTAACGTAAACCACGCAAAAACAAAGATATTTATCAAAAATATAAATGCGGACAACTATATCATTCTAAACTACCTTACGAAAAATGTGGATTGATATAATTTTATGAGAGAAAAATGAAGAAATACCAGACACCTTACGCCTTAAATTTTTATTAAATGATGACTTGCTATATACGGCTAGATACTGCCGAAGCATAAGTAAAAATTAAATGGATTAAAAACCTTCACCCTTCGACAGTTGACATCAGTCGGAAGGAGAAAGATCTCTTAAGAATATTAAGGAATGAAAATATTTTACTTAAAATCCAAGAGAGTTAGGGAAAAGGCCCTTTAAAACAATCAGACGGCTTTTAACCATTTTTATTTTCTATACAATCACAAAATAGAATGAAATGAAGAAAAACAAAGAAAAAAAAACCAAGATAAGTTTCCGTGATGAATGATCAGCGAAGGTGAAAGTAACTCATCAGTAAGTTAAAAGAACATGTATGTAAACATCATAAGTCACTCCTAATGCAAGATTATTTTAGAAAATATAAAGTTACTCATTTTAACTCTTTGGATAATAATAAACTCATCGGACGAAAAACGCCCTAGAATACTGTTGTGCAATACATTCATACATTTGTTGTTTTATACATTTGTATAATCAGCTGCATGTTTCAAGGAAGAACATTTTCTATTAGCGTTAGCCAGAGAAAGAGACGCCACTTCTCTATCGTAAAACACGTAATTTTTCTTTTTTCTTTTTTCAATTACACAGAAGATTAACCTTTTACGCGAAAGGGTGTCATAAAAAAAGTCGAAAACCCAACGGGCCACACATCTGCCAGTTTAAGAAAGAGTCAATTTTAATGTAGGTTACTAAATTTTTTAACTTCTAACTTATTCGTATTTTGCTAAAAAATTTAAGTAAAATCCCAGCATATTTCTTTCATAGACTAACAAACAATAAAGATTTAGTCCAATGGTAATATAGTTCTGTTCCGTTACGATAATCTCGGGGTCGAACCAGGCAGCATGATTGCAAAACCTTCAATTCTAAGCTGCCTCCTGATTGAGTTGTTGCATTTCTCATGCATGGGATCATCATGAGGTCAACATGCTCCTATTATTGATCATTTTTTAAAGTAAAGTTTCTCAGTTCTTTACACACTGACGTTTATTTTTAACTTTAAGAGCCAATTCTCGGTATGCTCCGGTCCGTATTTTGATGATTTTAAAGGTATTGAATGTGTTTTTTCAGGGCTCATTGCCCGGTATTTACTACACTTACATTTTTTTAGGCTAAATTGTGTGAGATTTGTAACTACTATCAGGTATAAAAATCACCCCTATTGTTAAAAATGAAATTAAATAATAATTAGAAATAAAAATTGATACTAAATGTTGCAGACTCAAAGCATTAAAATGCTTTGAAATGCCTTTTGTTATTAAAAAAGTTTCATTTTAGATCTTCAAAATCTGAAAATAAAATCTATCTAAACAATGTTTTTTTGGTTGCAGGCTCTTTGTTTCTGACGCTAGAAAATGACATTCATGCTCCTTTGAGCGACAAGAGTTATGGTTTGCGACAGAAGAAGATGGTAAGAAGATAACTACATCTCGCGTGAATTTTATACATACTATTTTTAAATTGTCATGTAAAATAAAATATTTTTCACTAAAATTATAGCATGTCTAAATCTAAAATTTACGTCTGCACCTGATCTTGGTCCGCTTGTGGAACAATTAAGAACAGGTGATTTGACTTTTTCTAAGAAAATATACAAGAATTTTAAAGGCAAGTGATTTGTGATTATTTTAGTACTTTTAAAATAAATGGTGCACCTATTACTTTTCAGGAATGATATTGTACAGAAATACAATGAACACCTTGCTGACAAGGACAAACGGTTAGCTGTGTAGGTAACCAACAGACTTTCAAATCTTAACTAAAAAACCTCTCCTTATTCAAAATTAGAACACAATTTTGGTTTATTTCAGAAAGCATTGCAAATTATATTAATAAACTTCTATTATAGAGTATAAAACTGTTAAAATGCTAGGGCTGTTTTTTAAGTAAGAACCGTTTTGTTGTGTGCACAAATGGGTGACGAGTGCTTGCTTTGTGTCCTGGCATTCCTTGGGAACAGCTGTGCTCAATTACAGCTGTGTAGGCAACCTGTACGTTCAGTTCTACGGCTTTAAAATGTTCAGGTTTAACAAATCTCCCTCCGCATATGAAGCACGGTCAGTAATGCGTTTTTATTTGGCGAAAAACCTGTTTGCTGCATGCATTCACAGGCAGATTTGTGAAGTTCACGAAGCTTCCTACTGGCACTCTGACAGAAATTTTACTACTCCATGACAATGACTCTTTCCACAGCTCAGTCCCGAGCTTTATTGTACTCTTTGGTCTGCGAAGTTTTAGACCACCTCTCAATACAGCCCAGACCTTGCGTTAAGTGATTTTCATCTTTTTCGATGTCTCAAACATCATTTTGGTGACAACCAGTACAACGATGCCGAAGACGTGAAAATGATCGTGACCTCTTGGTTAACAAAACAGGTGGCAAGTTACTATGAAGAGAGTATTCTGAAACTAGTTGTAAGGTATGATAAGTGTTTAACCCCCTAACGATCTGTTAATTTTAAAGAAAACGGTCTTAAAAGTGTCTATTTTTATACACGAATATTATACACGTATTTGATTAGTGCTGACATCTGGTTTAAAATAAACTATCTACAATTACCCTAAAAATATCCTAGTACTTCCATCTGGTGTGTAAAATGAGAAATAAAATGCTTTCCGGGCAAAAAAAATTATTCGTTTTATTCTTACTTTCACGTTACTACTTAACACTCTAGCCCGGGAATATCACGGGAGCGAGAAAAAGAAGGCGAAACCTCACCCTCTCAATTTCATGGGAGCGAGAAGGAAGGGGTTAAAAAAACTTGACAATTATTTTGGAGAAAAAAAAGAGAGAAACGTATGTAGGATCAAAAAATAAATTTGCTTTAGGAAAAATTTCTTTAGTTTGGTTTATATTTTCAAACTGACCTTACTTAAAAAACAGTCCTCGTAAAAAATACACAGTCTGTAGAACCAAACATAAGTGTCTTTATTACACAATTGAGTGTAAATGAGATTATTTACTTTCCTAAAACAAATGTGATGAATAAAGTATACCTTTTTATAGTCCTCAAGTAAAGGCTTTCCCTTTGAGACCAATTTGACAACAACCTGCCGTTGATAAGAAAAGCCGATGCTTCAGGTGACAATTAGTTTGGGTTGTTTTAATCTTCACATAAATAGAAAAGTTTCCTTCATGATTTTTTTTTCTAAACTTAATAATTGGAATACTAATCTAAACGTGAAGTAAAAATTACTAATGACAAGAATAACTGATGCTAGTTCGAACAATTTAGTGGAATAAAAAGATAAGTCTCAGTTCACTAATAACCCCAGAGAGTCAAATGGAATTTAAAAATTCAAAATCTATGCATAATTTTCTCATACAGTATTTGTTACACAGAAGAGGACTGGTTTTTCATTTTATTCGGTGCTTGCTCCTATTGAATCCGTTACATTGCCAGCAGTCAAAAATGCAATAAAATGAGAGGAAAAAAAAACCTTAGACTCGTTTATTGCATTGTACTGAAAGCAAAACACGAAAATGATACAAACTGAATAAATTTCTACCGAAACTAGGTACAGACCGCAAAAAAAAAAGATATCACCCTGAATAACTTTTGTTCTAATGATCGGATTTTCACGAATTAACTGTCAATCTTAATGGTTCCTCGGGGTGACCTCAAATAAACCAATTAATTAGTGCTAACTATTAATTAAGTTACGAAATCAGACACAAAAACGTACTTTCTCTGAATAAACATCTATTTTTTTACATATTTGGATTCCTTTTCTTCAAAATATAGGGGGTAGCCGCAATCTGGGAAGTTTGGTCGGGAGAGCGATTCAAAGTTTGGACCCTTAATGTTAATTTCGCTTTTTGCGTTTTCAGTCATATTTTAAAACTTTATAAAGCAATTTAAAAAAAATTACACCCACTCATATAACTCTTCTACCCAAAGATAATTTCATGAGAAAAATAATTTTTAATAATTATTTTTTATTTTTTATTATTTAATTAAATTGAGGAAGAAAATTTTGAATTATAAGGTATGGATATTTTTATACCATATTAATCTACATATTTTTTAATTGAAAAATCTAAAGTTTCAACAGTTTTTATTTATTAGAAGATGAAAAAAATTAAAATTAATTATTTAAAGAAAAATAATTTGGCGACAATTAAGAAATGATTAAATGGGGCGATTAATATTGAAATGTGATAAACTGACGAGGAACTTGACTTAGCGCGCGAAGCGTAAAATTTCATTCATATTTTTTTCGCTAATAATCGTTTGCTAATATTTTTATTTTTTTTAAAACTATAAAATACGATGTTTCTTTTTTAGTCGTCTGAAAATCAATTTGCAATTCAGTGAAGAAATTTGAATGAAACATTTTGAATAAAAAACACTTTATTCAACGAATGTCTAGTTATATGAAAGCGTGCTTCTGATAGAATATGATTATGCACCAGATTGTGCTAATTTAATGTGAATATTTTTTATTTTTTGATTTTGTTTTACAATAACTGATAAAATTTTACTAACATACATAGGTATGCATAGATTTGGAATAATATATTTATCAATTTCCTGAATATATATTTCAGAAATATTAATAAAAATACGTAGTAAGCATTTTTAAGCATCTCTCACAACATCGCAAATTTCTCAACATCTTCTAGGGTAAACTTACCATTAAAGGAACACTTAAGCTTAACTTGCCTTTAAAAAAAATCATAAAAATTTCAAAATTTTTCATTTTAGCTAAATAATGGTGTCGACAATTTGTTATTAAATGCAAATTATGCAAAAAAAATTAGATGACTTACATAATATTGTTTTAAGCTTTTAGTGGTTTAAATAATAAGTAGTGAGGTAACCAAGTGAAGGAACAGTTCTAACCAGTGAATAAACACCAGTTAATTTTTAAGTTATATTTAACTCAAAAATTAAAATTTTGAGACCAGTTAATGAAAATAAATATTTTATCTTTTAAGTTCTTGCGCCCCCATTTCAATATCTTAAGGATCTTAGGAGCTCTGTTTAAAAAGAGAGTATCAGATATATATAAGAAAGCAAAAATAATCATAGTAGCAGTATGTGGTGGTAAATGTAGCTTATCGTAATTGAAGAATATGTTGTGCGATATTTAATGGTGAATTTGCGAACGTAAGTTTAAGAATGTATCGAAACATGAGGATGCTATTTGCTAACCATCTTTATCCAAAGAAAACCATGTAACCTAAATATCTAGCAGAATGAAGCGGTTTTTTAAATAATGAATCATACAATATGCAACATATTATTTCAATATCTTATTCTTAAGTATATCATGTTTCAATGTTTTTAAAATGCCACTGAACATTCAGCAATTCCTTGAGTTATAGAAAAAAGAAATATCGTAAATTATAGAAAACCTTGTTAATTACTATACAATCTACATTTTATTTTTCAAGCTTTTATTTTTCAAGATTTACTTTTTTTTTCCTCAGACTTTCTTGCCTAGAAGACTCGATTAAAGCTGTAAAAATTATTATCCCTAGAATTTCGTATATAGCTATAATAAGTTATGTCTGAAATCCTCGAATAAATACAGCAAAAACAACATAATCTAAATAATATCTGATAAAAAGTTCATGTATTTAAATTCTAAGAACTTAGAAAATCATAAATAATTTATAAATCGATTCAAATTTTCTTTTCAAAAGAGATTAAAATAAATTTATTTCTGCTTTTTGGACAGAAATCAGCTTAAAAATTGTCTATTGCCTGGAAACTTCGAGATATTTTCTACTAACAATTAATTAAACCTCTCCGAGCAATCACAGAACATTTCAATTTTTTTACAATCAGAGTTTGGTTGCCTAGCAACCTAGTAAAACTAAGCATACCTCTTTTGAATTAGTCAATGGGTTATCTTAAAATATTCATTTGCGCTGGCAACTTTTTTTTGGCGGTTTTCCAGACTATAGCCAAATATATAAACCTTTATTGCAACCCAATTTACCGAACTATTTATACAACATTNCCCCCCCCCCCCCCCCTAATTTAAGTATCTAGATTCCACTTAAAAATGTCTCTAACTGAGAAGGTGGATACAGCAATACCATCAAATCTTCAAAGTGCTTACGTAGGAGATTTCCTGGCAAAGAATTCTTCGCCTGTACATTCGATTGCATCAACAGAAAACTCACATGTGAAAAATGATTTATGTGCTAGAAATGTTAGCTTAGTTCAANCTACCCCCCCCCCTAATTTAAGTATCTAGATTCCAAATATGTAAAAAAAATACATGCTTGTTCAGAGAAAGTACGTTTTAGTGTCTGATTTCGTAACTTAATTAATAGTTAGCACTAATTAATTAGTACATTTGAGGTCACCCCCAGGAACCATTAAGATTGACACTTAGTTCGTGAAAATCCGATCATTAGAACGAAAGTTATTCAGGGTGACATCTTTTTTTTTTCCTGACTGTACATTAGTTAGTGCAGACGATATTTTAAATTTCAAAATCAAGCGCAAAACGTATTTTCTCTGAACAAATATGTTTTTTATCCAACCGATTCGTATATTTAACCTTTAAAATGTGGAGCGTAAAAGTAATCTGAAAAAAATATAGTCTCTCTAATTTAGTAAAGTCCTTATAT